TAAGTACTTTGGTTTTCAAGCGTGTTCCCCTAAGTTCCCCCACAGTATCTGAATTGTCTAAGAAATCAAGTAAAATGAAAAGAGAGAGAATTAAATATGTTCATCACTATCCAGTTTGGGATATTAGGAAAAACATTTAAGTATTTTTACCTATGAAGCAATTAGAATACAATGTGATGTGTAAATGGCAGTTGAAAAAAATGGAGTTTTATATCCCTGTATTTAGAGAGACTATATTTGTGTGTACATTCTCACCAGTGTGCCACATTATTTCTCACTGTTAGCTCTAAGGCTTCCCATGTCTCCCTATGTGTTCCTCCCTCTCAGAATAGTGTTGCTTCATTAGTAACTACTCCATAAATGCTGGTGGAGGTGACTTTACTGTTTAAAAAGTACAGTTTGTGAGGACTGGATGGTATAACAAGTATAGATCATATAATTTATACTTTAAGATTTTAGGTGGATACAAAAGTATCATGTAATAGGGGACTTAAAAGCTGATTAGGGGCTGGGCGTGGTGGCTCACACCTGTAACCTCAGCACTTTGGGAGGACAAAGTGGGTGGATCACAAGGTCAGGAGTTTGAGACCAGCTTGGCCAGCATGGTGAAACCCCATCTCTACTAAAAATACACAAAATTAGTCAGGCATGGTGGCAGATGCCTGTAGTCTTAGCTACTGAGGAGGCTGAGGCAGGAGGGTAGCTTGAACCTGGGAAGCAGAGGTCGCAGTGAGCCCAGTTTGTGCCACTGTGCTCCAGTCTGGGCAACAGAGTGAGACTCCAGCACAAAAGGAAAAAAAAAAAAAAGCTGATTAAGATACAAGGACCAAGAAAAGAAATAGCTTAACAGAGTCGGGGTTGGGGATCAGAGCGGTGGCCAGAATTCTGAAGGGATAAGCCTCTGGTCTCACTTGGGATCACTCTATCATGACATGTTCTAGGAGGGGTTAGGAGTCCACATACCGGAATGGTCAGGTGATAGAATGTCAGTGGAAATTGCACTGAGGATAATCGAGCGAAACAGAGAAGGTCTAGAGAAGCGAGGTTGGGGTTGAGTTTGTCCCCACTGCTGACTAGCATGGAGAGATGATGAGTACCATTGGCCTCTTCTACCTAGAATGAGAAGTTGCTGCTCTAAATCATGCTTTTTAGTGGCCCGGTAGCTGCACCTAGTGAACTGAGCACTATAATGAATCTTAGAGCAAAACTCAGAGTACTCTAAGTTCCTGAACTCATGTACTTTTCTCTGTTAGGCATGACTTTCTGTGTATGTAAATGGAAGCGTAAAACATAATAGGGGACGACGACAGGCCAAAACAAGATAAGAATTTTTTTTTTTTTTTTTTTTTTT